TTTTTGTTAATATTATTTTTTAAGTTTTTCGAGTTTATATAGTATTTTTGTAATTAAAATTTTGATGAAAATTATACAGTTTTCGCAATTTTGTGAACATATTTTATTAATATTGATAACAAAATAGCTATAATATCTATTTATATTATTTTTTATTTTTTTAAAAATATTTATTATTTACAAAAAAGTATATTTTTAAGATAGTATAAACAGATAATTTTGTCCATGGTCATAATAATAATATTACCTACTGTATTATATTATACATAAATATTGTACAATAGCTAATAATAATACTTTAATTTATTATTTGAGTGTATTTAATAATAGCAATTTTATGCACTGTATTAAAAGTTATAAATATCTACTAGTATTACATTTTAGTAGTAAAAAAATATTTACTAGTATTAAATGCCAAAATATTTATTGCTTTTATAAAAATTAAACATTATTTTTATATATTTCATACATAAATTAAATATAAAATTATACTTTCATAAATTTCATATTTTATAATCAGTAAACTTATAGAAATGTATCTTCATTGAAATAAATATATACCATATATGTAATTTTTGTTTTAATTAAATTAATTTGTAAATATTTCAAAGATAAACAAGTTTTCATCAAATTATTTTAATGGCATAAATATTATCACAAACTTAAACAACACTTCCTAATACTTCAATTATTAATCAACTTATTATTTAAATTGTGAGTCCATTTAATATATATACAATATATACAAACTGTATGTATATATTGACATAAATTACAAATCAACAAAACAATCATAAGTTTTTTATGAATAAAAAGATTATATATTATTATATCTCAAAATTGAATTGACCTCAAATTGTTTTCGGGTTAACTATAAGGTTAAGTCAAGAGTTAATTCATTTATTATTAAAAAAAAACATTTAATTATCTTAAACTAATTACATGCAATTGAATTAGTGATGTTTTATAAAATTTATATGCGATATTTATCTAGCCATTTGGACAGTACTGTAATTATTAGTTTGTATTTATTATATGTATTTGAAACAAAATAATTTTTAATATTGCACTATACTGTACTGTATTTATCTAAAATATATTTTAAAAATTATAGAAAAATTTGCCGATAACATATTTTTATCTATAAATTATTATTATTTGTCTAACTTTGAATATATCTATATCCATATAAAAATTTTTATTTGATTATAGTTAAGCAAATTTAATTTTATTTATCAAAAAATAAAATTAACTTTATGTAGTTTTAAATAACTACTGCAGTATATAATTTACAGTAGATTTATATATTAGAAATTGTATTTTTAGGATTTTTCTTTTTTTCAGTGAGTCTAAAATTAGGTTATAATAAATCTAAATGTAATAAATGCCAATGACCCATGTCAAACTAATTAAAATCAACAAAATATTACTAATATTTATAAATATTAAAAACATTTTGGTAGAAATAATATTTTTAATTGTTTTTTCATAAATTTATTTTATTTACAAAAGCAAATGGAATTATATACATAACTATAATAACTATGATCTAACATAATATAATATAGTATATCTGTATATTGTTTTATATAGTCTATATAAAACAATATACTGATATACTATAGATATATCTATTAATGTAAAACTAAAAAACTTTTTTTTATTTACTAATTTATATACAAACCTATGTATTGGCAATCAGACATTTGTTTAATATTTTGTTGACAATAATCAAAATGCCAAATAAAATGTTGAATAGTCCACCTGTGGATAGGAGGTTAGGGCTATAATAGGCATTATAAAGACTAATTCAATCAAATCAAACACCAATAATAAGTCCAATATATCCATTATATAGAGACTTAAGTCCAACATTTAATTGAAATAAATTATTATTCAACAATAATTTACACAAGTTTGTTGTAGTTTGTAATTAATAATATTAAAAAAATAATACACTAATAATAAATACAAGGTTTTTTAATATTTATTTTCAATACAATGTATATTAATTAATATACCGGTGCTCTTGAAAGTACTACTCAGGAAAACATTATAAAAAACATATATTATATCAATGTATGGATACTAAAAATGGGTGCAAACTGTTAGCCGAAAATTCACTGTTAAATTCACTTATATATGTGTTATATAATATAATACATAGTATTTCATACACACAATAGACTATATAACTGTATGTTTCAGGTCATAGACTCTCACTCTAAGTACAGTAAAAGACTATAATTTACCGGTTTTTTAGCATAAATATTATTAGACAAAACAACTTTTTTAAGGTTCATTTGTGGGTCAAATACTTTTTTACCTAATTTTTTTGGAGCCATTGCTTATAATTATATTTTTATCAAGAAAACGTGTTTATAAATTCTAGTTTTGTTTTTATTTTTAAATTTTAGTATCAAAAGGTTTAAAATTTCAATTATATTAAAATTACTTTTTGAAAATTATTTTATAATATATAATTAGGACCATATGTTATTACATTTAATAAATATATAGTTGTATAATATTCATAATATTTGTGAGTGATTGATAAAATATAATATATTTATGATATTAATTGTTTCATAGTTTATAATTTGATAAACTATTAAATTATAAACAATGATACAATTTATACAACATATTATAAATATATATTATTTTAATAATTACTTATAAAATATATTCATATGATCAGTCATCAGATTAATGATAGTCTTATAATGATTATTAGAAATTTAACAAATAAATAAAAACACAATTAAGTGAAAATTAATTATTAATATCTATAACATAATAGAACTGATTGTTATATGAAATATATTTTTCTTTGGTTTCTTTGGCTAAAACATAAAATATAATACATATTGTATTGTATTATACATTATAAAACATATGACTGAAATTGCAATATGTTATGTAATTGGTATATATGCTATAAAACTGTGTGATAAACCGTATTTATATGTACAATAGATATGTGAATTTTTCACACTTATATATAATTTTATTTTTAGTTATTCAATTAAAAATGTAGACAAAAAGTATAGATTATATAATATAGTAATAAGTTATCTATAGATTTGAATTATGACACTTTAGTTAAGGGGTAAAAACAGATGCTATTTCACCAATTAATACCTGTATTATTATTATTATTATTATTATTATTATTATTTGATGACTAATTGAAGATAATCAACAAAAACAAACAATTTTTGTAAATATAATAATTTTTAATAACTCTTTTTTTCAATTGCAGTAGTGATTTGAAATTATTTAATTTTTTATAATTTAAAATTTTATCAAATTTTTAATTAAATACAGATGATTCATTTATGTGAATATTATAGTTTGATTGGATAGTTTCAAATAATATTAGCAATTATACACTAGTAATATACTAAATCTTGTTGTGATTTAAATTTTTGTTTTTTTAAATAAATTTTAAAAATTATATTACTTGAAAATTGAAACCTTGAAATAATTTATAATTTTTACAATCTGTTAATTATATCTATTCATATATATATATACAGGGTTGGAAAAATACAAGGTTTTCAATTTTGGCTTTGTAAACTACAGTAAAATACAGTAAAATACAGTAAAATACAATGTACTGGATGTATTTTACAATTATAAAAAAATTACATTAACAATGATAAAATATTTATTTTTTATTATAATTATTATTATTACATAATTTCAATATCGTTATTAGAATCGTTGTTTTCTAAAACTATTAAAATTAATATTAATTATTTTATTAATATATTTCAATTGAATAAAAAATTGAATAACTAATTTCAATTTTTTTTAAAATGTTGAAATAAAAAAAATTATTATTATTACAAAACATGTGATTGTTTGTAAATCTTAGTATTTTTGTTACTAGTTAGCGCTAAAAATTTTTTGTAAGCCAAAATTGTCAAGTAATTTACATTGTATTATACTGTAAAATACGCTTTGTATTATACATACACTTTGTCTCTGCCAACACTGTATATATATATATTAATAAGTATAAGTTATACATTTACATTATTAAAATGTTATTGAATAAAATAAATATTTAATTAACTTATTAATTAAAATAAATTTACAAATCTCTTGTATAGAGGCTTTAAACAAACAATAACTTAATTACACTAATATTTTATTTACTATTTATTTTAAATGTTTATGAGTATGTTTGTTTAATATAAATCATAAACTATAATGAATGTGCCAAGATCAGTTTAGTATTCAAGTGTAATAAGAAATAATAATTGTTTTAATAAATGATTCATAACAAGCTTAAGTGATTAGTTTTATATATCTGTTTATAAAAAAAATGTATAAGTATTTACATTACATATATATACTGATGAAAAAAAGTTCGTTAATATTTACAGTCAATTTATATACATTTATTTATTAAATACCTGAAGGTCAGTGTTTATCATAAATTTATTTATTTATTTAAAAGTCCAAACATTCAATATATTGCAGTTTATATTCAAAAAGTGATTTTTTATATGAATTTTATCAATATCTCATGAAATTAATGTTAATAATAATAATACTGTATAATATATTTATATATTATAAATATTAATATAAAAACAAAAAAAATAATTATTTGAATAAAGTTGATGGTATATCATGATATAAAAATGGTGATCGATCTCAAACGTCATTGAAAAAAATCCTGTATATATTACAAGTATTTATTTTTGTTGTTGTATTCATACATAATATCCGCCTATTAATACTGTATTACCCATAGTTTTTACATTAAGTATTTGATATTGAAAAATAAAAAATAAAATAAAACAGTCTGTTATAATAAATTGAACGGAAAATTTTTAGTCCCATTTGTTTGGCGCATACACTCTCTCTCTCTCATCGCAGATAATCTCATTTAAAATTCAGAAAATAAATATATATATATATATCTAAAGTTATTTTCAATTATCAAAAACGCCTTTATTTTATTTTTTGCTGAATAAACAAAATTTCTATATATTTAGTAGAATTGTTTGATTTTTTTAAAGTTGAAAAATAAAATTGTTATATTATTTGAAAATAATTAAAAGTAATAATAATAATAATAAATTTGTTTAATTTTGTGTAAGTCATGGAGTCAAGTGATCCGATTTTAATTGGCAAAGTTAGGGATCTAATTGGTGCTGACATTAGACAGCATCTGGATCTGTATGACTCGGATGACTCGTGTCGTGTACTGAACAATGATTGGCAAATACAGCGATTTTTGTTGGCCAACAAACTGGATGTCGATGCCTCGTATATTATGCTTAGGGATGCACTCCGTTGGCGACACTCGTATGGTGTTAACAAACGAACCGACGGAGACTATCCACAAGAGTTCTACAAAACGGGTATTTATTTTCCGTACGGTTTGGATAAAGAGCAGCGAACTGTCATTTATTTAAGGATAAAAATGTACAAAAGTTTTCCCAATGTTTCCGATTTTTTCAAACAATTTATTATTCATATGATCAACAAAGTCGATATCGAAAGCGATCAAAAAGGTTTGTAAACATTTATATATATATATATATATACAGTATATATATATATACAGTATATATATATATATGCAGTATATATATATATACAGTATATATATATATACAGTATATATATATATACAGTATATATATATATACAGTATATATATATATATATATATTTAATTTATAATTTAAAAATAACTTTGAATTTTGATAATTTATAGTTTTATTGTTTATTTATATTTTATATTACTATAAAATTATGCAAAAATATTCAATTATTTTATTTTTGAATCAATATCTCATTTTCTCTTTTATTTGAATTTAAGATTTCATTTATTTTTAGAAACTTATCAGTAGAATATTTTTCTAAAAAAATTATCTTAATTGTCTTAATAATTATTTAAAAATATAATTTAAAAACAAATAATCTAAATAAAACATTTTATTTAATTTTTTTTAAATAAAAATAGGTTGGTCAATGGTATGGGATTTATCTGGTGCCGGTCCATCAAATTGGGATCTATCGATGGTTAAATTTATTATATCTAGTTTTAAATTATACTTTCCCCGAGGACTTCAGTATCTAATTGTTTACGGCGTTCCCTGGATTATGAATCCGTTTGTTAGTATTGCCCTCAGATTGATGTCAGAAGAAACTCGTAATAAAGTAAAGTTTGCCTCAAAAGACCAAATCTTTGAGTACATCGACAGGGATCAGGTGCCAGACTTTTTGGACGGCAAGTGTGACCTACCCTATAGGGATGTGCCTAAAGAAGCTGATAGAGAATTCAGAGATATGGCACCAGCGCTGGGCTATAGTGTCCAAGAGGTGGACCAAGTTTACAAACATTATGACAAATATTTAAATTAGTAATTTTATTTTTTTAATACTTATTTTTTTATTATAATTTATTTTATATTTTTATAAACTCTCTAAATACCATTTTTTTATAACTTAATAACAAACTTTACAATTATGCACTTGTTTTGTACTTATTTTTACAATAATAAAATTATTATATAATTATAAAAATACCCATTATTTACATAACATAAAATTAATTTTAATAATAATAGTAAAAATACATATTTTAAATTTTATTTTCATGTCACAAAAAAATTATTAAAATCACAATACAATGTAATTATTATTATTTCTTATGAATTGAACAACAGATTTGACAGTTATGTATAAAATAAAAAAAACTGAATTTCCTAATAAATTATAAGTTATAATTGAGTAAAACTTGAATAAAATCTCAAATATAAATAATAATAATAAAATTAATTGTTAATGTGTAAATAATTTGCAAGTCAATTATAGTATAAATATTTAAATTACATTTTATCATAATTATTATTATTGTTTATTTTGTTTTAATGTAAATAACTACTTAAATGATATCAGTAATGATGTGTAAATAATAAATTAAATATATTAATACATTATGTCAAAAACTATTTAACATGAATATACTGTATTTAGATCTAAAGTAATTACATTTTCAAAAATTATTTCAATATTTAAACTTAATTTTTTTTTTTATAATTACATAATTCCCAATTTGTTAACATATTATTTTACAAATATAGAAAATATAGTAAATATTTATTTATATAATTATTATAATTATTATATTACAAATAAATATATTGTTTATTCAAAAATATCAATAATTCGATTTATTTGTATTATATTTATAACTTTTGAACTTAATATTGTATGATAATAACAGATATATACTGTATATCATATAGAAATTATCACATTTATTATAGTTATAGTAGAAAAAGAAATAAGAAAAACAGTAAAATAAATATATTTATCCATAGTTATTATCAATGGATAAATATTATGTTTTGACTACATTTTAAACATTAAAGTCAATTAAATAGTTATTTATTACAGATGTTTATATTTATAAAAAAAAATAATTTCAATTAATGTAAATTATATAATTTGTTGAATTATAATAGTAATAGATTAATAATAATAATTTAAATACCATAGTAATATGTCTATTGATGAAAGTATAATTAGTATAATTAAAAACAAATTGATTAATGAATTGAAATCTAACAATGATTTATACGATGAAAATGATATAACATATACTTTGGACAACGAGTGGTCTATTAGAAGATACCTACTGTTTCACAAACTGGATGTCGACAAGTCGTTTGTGGCCATCAAAGATAGCCTACAATGGCGTAAGTCATACGGAATCAAACAGCGAACAGATGTTGACTATCCCATAGAGTTTTATCAAATCGGTGCCTATTTTCCATACTGTGTCGACCGAAATGGTCGCACAGTTATCTACGTAAGGGCTAAGATGTATAAATACTTTCCACATATAAACGATTTTATGAAACAATATATTGTTCACGTAATCGACAAAATAGATAAACTAAGTCAAGAGTCAGGTAAATGATATAAAAACAATAAATATATATTTGTTTTAATAGATATTATGGATAAATATTAGTTTGTTAATAAACAGGTTGGACAATGGTATGGGATCTGGTAGGTGCCGGACCGTCCAATTGGGATTTGTCGTTTTTAAAGTTCATAATATCTACATTAAGAAACTATTATCCATTAGGTATGCAATACCTGTTAGCCTATGGCGTTCATCCACTTATGAGTGGCTTCGTTAAGATTGGACTTAAATTAGTGCCACAAGACGCCAGAAATCGCATAAAATTTGTATCAAAAGATGAATTGTTAACATATATTGCACCCGAAAATTTGCCCGACTTTATGGGCGGCACCTCTACTGTAAGCTATAAGGATGTACCCCTTGGCACTCAATCTGCACTTGAATTTGGATTAGAGAAAGGCATTCAATCAAAGGATATCGAAAAAGCGTTAGACTTTTATAATAAATTTTTATAAAATTTTTATACATATATTAATAATAATTAATAGTCAGTTGGTTATTAAGTACAGTAGTTTAAATTATATAAATTATACAGTATATAAACAATTATAAAAAGCAACAAATAATTAATTTTGTTATAAAATACTCTAATTAACAAATATTTTGATAATAATAAAAACATATAAAAATTTATAAAAATAATTATTAAGTTTTATGTTGTCTTCACAATTCATAATAATAAACTTTTTTATTTAAAACTTACAATTGAAGACAGTTTTCGGTGACAATCTGTCACACTTTGCGGAACACTCGAGTGTTTTCGGTCTCAATCTGAGACCATTATCAACGCCGAGTCAGACATCACTACTGTATTGACAGTAACAGTGATATCTGTTTTTTGGTCACTTGAGTATCTCATGGGTGAGAGAGAGGCCTCATATAGTTATCATATATCTTATATTATTATATAATTTGTGTAAAACAATATTCAAAATAAAAAATATAGTAATAATTAAAATAAACAATTTTTTAAAAATATTTATTACAATTTGAAACTAGATTTTGATTTAGTAAAAATAAATATATAAAAATTTTTAATTATATAAAATAAACATAATTTTCCTGCCATTTTATATAATTAAAAATTTTTATATATTTATTTTTACTAAATCAAAATCTAGTTTCAAATTGTAATAAATATTTTTAAAAAATTGTTTATTTTAATTATTACTATATTTTTTATTTTGAATATTGTTTTATACAAATTATATAATAATATAAGATATATGATAACTATATGAGGCCTCTCTCTCACCCATGAGATACTCAAGTGACCAAAAAACAGATATCACTGTTACTGTCAATACAGTAGTGATGTCTGACTCGGCGTTGATAATGGTCTCAGATTGAGACCGAAAACACTCGAGTGTTCCGCAAAGTGTGACAGATTGTCACCGAAAACTGTCTTCAATTGTAAGTTTTAAATAAAAAAGTTTATTATAAAAATAAAATAAAAACTTTGATCTTTGTTTAAATTTATATTTAAACATTTATATAAATTATAGCATAAAATTATTAAATAAAAAAATGATTATAATTCAACTATTACGGTAATTAACAATTTCTCATTTAAACAAATAGCATATTTAAAAACCTAAAAATAAATTAATACAGTCTAACGTAATACAATATAAAATACATTGCTATACAAAAAAAAAATTAGCGCAACTTAATGGCAAAAGCGTTGAAATATACAGTAAATTGTGTTTTATAATAAATATAGATTCACTAATAATTTTTATTGAATTTATTTTATTTTAAATATTAAAGATTATTATAGCAATAAAGCAATTTCTAGCAATTAATAATTTATGTTTAATAAATATTTTTCAATATTTTTTTCAACATTAGTTTTAAAAATAGTGTAATTCAAATAGTACATTTTATTATACTGTATTATTGAAAGACGATATTCAAAACATTGTATTATTTCAAAACTAGTATATAGTATATTGTATTATTAATAAAGTTAGTTAATTGACTAATGTATTTAATAAGCATTCAATTGAATCAACTATTATACTATGAGATGATGTATGATATATGATATGGCCATCAATTATGTCGATCCCCGATCTTATGCACAATTTCTTTCTCTTAAAAAGGTTGCACTTAAATAAAGTTAATGTATATTATAATATAACAAAATGATTATTAAATGATGATAAACAATAACATTATATAAGTGACATTAAGCTAAACATACAGAGACTACTTATATAAATATATTCATAATAATGAATTGAATTCATTGGAAATAAATTATAACAATAGAAACCAATTGTTTTACCCGACAGTCGCTCCATAAATATAAGTAATTTTAGGCGCATTTGCGGTGATATTGTCGGATGTTTTGCTAAATAGCTATGTATTTGTTTTAATGGTAAATGTGCTGATTTACTGACCCAAGTGCTCATTATATTGTTGTGGGTGGTCTGGTTTAACCTATGGATCAGTTGTCTAACGTGGGTCGGTATGAGACCAACAACCGATAGTTTCCCTCAATTCCCACAACGGTATCAATTGATCAGTCAAAGACTTCCCAATTGATTTAGTGAGGATCACTTGAGGCACTTTATGTGTCAATAAAAGTGATATACAGATCTGCAGAAGTGGTGACCAGAGTGTAGGCCAGGGATCGATCCGTAGTACTATTGATAACGTCTATTACTATTGGAAGGCCAGTGAAATGGTAGTCTTGAAGTGTGATCGATCAGCCAATGCTTGATGAAGGTATGGTAGATGTGGTGATCGATCCAGTGATGTGGTTAAGACAATGATTAGACACACAGTTTCAGATATAATTACTTTATTATAACACAATTTAAATGATAGTTAAAACAATGGTTTAAGTGGTATGGATAGTGGGACTATCAGAGCACATGGATGTGTGTAATGGAGTTGTGGTATGAATGGCACTGAAGGCCGGTATGTACTGACTGGGCAGTATGGGTAGCAGTGACTGTGACTGTAGTGAAAGTGTAAGAGAGAGAGAGTATACTATGAATACATCAGTATTTATACTATATTTGAGAACAAGTATGTATGTGTAGGAAAAGTGGAGCTATTGGTTGGCTGTATGTATGTGAGGTCAGTGATCGATCAACTGGTGCCATGAAGACGGCCATTGAGCGATCACTTCTAAGAACAGGTAGGCATTGATCGATCAACAATTCAAGGAAAGGATTAAAAGCATATAAATAGGTTTACTATAAAAATCAAAATAAGTTAAAAACAAAAAGATTAAAATATTATAATTAAATTAAATATAAAATGGATTTCCTCAACAATATTAAACATTTGAATAAAAGTAACGGCAAATAATACTAGAAATATACAGAATATTTTACCAAATAATAAAGTATCGGAACGAAATGTACCATAAATTACTATCAATACACCGGGGGTTACAATATAATAGATTATAAATATTATACATCGGAGTAAATAATTGACATTAAGAACCATTTTAGCACATTTATTGTGTATATTAATTAATACAAATAAATGTTTTGTATAAACAATWTGCCATTTGTTTGAATTTTTATACAATTTTTAATTTCAAAATATAATTCTTTAAATTTAAATTTGAAAAAATCCGAAAAACAAAACCATAGCCCAAATCCAACAAAAACAGTGCCAAATATTTTAAATAAACTTAAAACAGAGATTATTAGGTAAACAATAAATTTAATGATCCACCAAAATGATGTGGTATCAAAATCTTTTAATAATGCCATACAATAGGAATATAATATATATATATAAATGATGTAAATGTTGTTAAATAAATTAGTGGTGATATTAATTTCATTATAATGTTTAGTCTAAATGAAAACTTTTTCAATGCATCTCTTTTTAATGTCAATCCAAATGTTTGATATTTTAAATCATTTATATATAGATACGAATAAGCTTTATAACTATATTCCTGATAATAATTTGAACTATTGATACAAAATACGTCAAAACTAAATATATTGAATATCATTGAAGTCAGCGTTAAATTTCCTAATGTATATAATGGATCACCCAATAGGTCACGAATCCATAACTGTAGATAAAATAATAGATTATGTTATTAACTAATTTATTAAATATTATATATACTTTACAATAAGTAAAGTAATAAATAGAAATTTCTTTTGAAAACTTTCTAGAAAGTTCTCTAACTTATTATTTTAGATATATTTTTTTTATGCCAACACTAGATGCGACCGGACATTATTATTTACTATTAAATATTATGTAATTTACTATTTTGTTTTAATTAATTAGTTTAGTTATATATTGATATTTTTTATTTTATATAAATTTAATTATTTTACTAATTCTACTAATTCTACTAATTTTAAAATTTTATAAAGTAATAGTTTACTTTTAGATTTAATACTATCTCTTTTTCTTATATTATTTAAAACTTTAAATACTAGACATAATTAAATTAATATTAATTAATTATAATTAACACATTTCTGTAAAGTTTAGCTTTTAATCTAATTTATTTTCAACATTTTTTTATTATATTCAATTCTAATTTAAATTAATTATTTTTAAAAACAGTATTAATATTATTATCTGATTAACTAAAGTTGTTATTAGAAATCTTAAACTATTTATTAATAAAACAATTTGTAATATAAGTGCAAATATTAATCTTCTTTTAGTCATTTGTTTCAATACATATTGATTTCCATCTTTTGATATAATAATATAATAACAATTACCAAGAGTTTCAAGTAATACCATTGACTGACGCAACTCATCATTAATTTTCTTTAATTTTGTCATTTTTGAACAATTAATAAAAGTATAAAATACTGTATAAAAAGTTTAAATATTAATTTGATAAATAATAAAAGTGTTTGAGTTTTTAGATATTTTATCTGTAATACGGTATTGAGAGTACATCTAAAAAAATTATTGAATACATTAACTTAATTGTCACTAAATTATAAAAACAAAAATATATTGTATAACTGTTTGCTCGACTAATCAACTGATGAATACATGTCTGGATTAATAATAAACTATTTATATTTAAGTTTACTTTTAGTTAGAAAAATATAAATAGTTGTCATTCATAAAACATTTCATAATTTCAAGACTTATTAATTATTTATTGTTATTTTAAGTGCATTTATTATGTTGAAAATTTATATTTTATTAAATGTTATGATATAAAATTTATATTATAAATCTAATTATCATAATAATCAATAAAAATTTATTATAAGTAATCTATATTATAGAATATGTCAATTTGAAATTGATTTTGTAATTAACGATTTTTATAAAGTGATTTATAAATATAATAAAAATGCATTACATTAAGTAATTTACATATTTAATTTTAAGTATAAGATTAATTAATATAAATAAAAACTTTCAACATCTATATTCATATATGCAGTATATATAATCGCATTTAATAATAATTTATAATAAATTAATA